TGCAAATACTGTGAGTGACTTCACATACCATAGATATTTATCTACCTAAATTTATAGACTTGTCTGCTTTATGTAAACATAGATTGCTATTAAACCCTGTACAGCTGAAAAATCCCTGAATTTTTAGCCATTGGTTGCAACTAAGACATTATTGGATTCACAGTTGTGCTGGGAAGTGCATACTTTTTTGTTTTTGAAAGACTCTATTGACTGTAAAGTTTTTTTTGGTTTTTTAAACGGATGAAATATGTGATGTAATATCACAATTCTAAGCTTAGATTTGGTAATCTTTCCAGATGGAATGTCACACCACAGATTTTTAGTTCAATAAACATCATCAAGTTGAAAAACTGAAATTCTTTTCTGTTTTTACAGTTTCTGGCCCTGCTATATGGTGTCATTTTTGATGATTTTCTTTGAAAGAAAAAAAGCTCTTTAAATCCACCTGTGGTTTTTGAATTTCAGAGGGTTAGCATACAACAATTAGAAACAAAAAAAAATAAAGGTACATAAGGTGCATGTGGTACAACACACTCCTTTGTAAACACAACAGAAAAAGATAACCCCTCACATAAGAATGGACAGTATCTCTTGTACAGTGGTGAATGAGTGCTCTTTGATGTATTATCACAGAATGTAACACAAATTAATGCATTTCTAGATGGATGCTGCAATTTTCCTAAGGCTGGGAGCTGTCAGAAAGAAAACAGGCTTTGCTACATGTGAATTCAGTCTTTTGTTGTTTGGACCATCATGGACTTGTGCTCCAGAGTGACGTGTATATGACTCATGTTTGTACTGACCTGGCAGGCAGTCCAGGTGGTGGTCACATGGCTCGATTGCGTCAGCATCTGCAGTCACATTTCCACTGCTGAGGTTCTTACTCCTCCTCTTGTCTGCAGCAAAAAAAAACAAAACATAAACAGTTTGATCCTTAAGCCTTCTGATCAATAAACAGCCTCTACAAAACAGACTGATTTGTCACAGACTGCCAAAAATTTTGCCTTTTTTGTGTGTGGTATGTATGTTTGCAAAGGCCACTGTCAAGCGCAATTATTTTAATTTCACAGTTTTTTTTAAAAAGACAGCAGCACACAGCAGTGGTTCAGTCATTGCTACTTAGCCTTCTATAAAATGAAATCAATGTACCATTACAACAACTTAGGAGATTCTTAAAGTTCTTTGGATACTCAACATCTGTGTTTTGCCTAAATACTGTGAATAATGTAATCTTTTGTCTGTGGGGACGGCATTATGACTCTTTGATCCAAACGGAAATATCTCAACAACTATCGCATGGATACAATGAAATTTGCTGCACATGTTGGAGATCTCTTAAGGATAAACTCAAACAATGACAGAGAGCCTTGTGACTTCTCTGTTTAACTGGTGAATGTTTTTATTTAATCAGAGGAGTATCTTGTCAGCTACTGGGTGACTTGTCACTAAATTGGTGATCAAAGGATGTATTCACATGACTTTGGTAATGTCCTAGAACCAGAGAATGATCTGATCCTGTGACTATAAGACAGTGATGATGTTAAATATTATAACTGCTAAACATCAACTAGTGTTGTCTTGTGAAATCTTATTTATTCATATATCATACAAAAATCTGACACAATATGGATAATCTGAGTTGTACGTTTACTATTTCCATCCAACCTGTTCTCCTCAAATAAAAATCCTTCAGAAAGCCAAATTTACAATCACTTTACCAACCTTTCTTCCTGGAAGACGGCCAGGTGTCCACAGGTTTCATGTCCTCGTAGTCTGTCCAATCAAAGAGCGCCATGTCCAACGTTGGCATCACCTCTCCTTGTCCTTTTCCACGTCCAGACCTCTGAAAACCAAAGCGTAAGTCACACCCTACAATTTAGAACATCCATCCATTATCTATACACCGTGTAATCCTCACTAGGGTCGCAGGAGGGCTGGAGTCTATCCCACCTGACTCAGGGGACAGGGGACACCCTGGACAGGTCGCCAGTCTATCGCAGGGCTACAAAGAGACAAACAACCAAGCACACTCACACTCACACCTACGGACAATTTAGAATCACCAATTAACCTCAACATGTTTTTGGACTGTGTGGGAGGAAGCCGGAGAACCTGGAGAGAACCCACGCTGCACGGGGAGAACATGCAAACTCCACGCAGAAAGATCTCGGGCGTCCTCACCGGGACGCGAACCAGCGACCTTCTTGCTGCGAGGCAACAGTGCAAACCACCAAGCACCCCCCATTTAGAACAGCTTTTTTATTTTTATTTATTTATTTTTTTATCATTTTCCGTGGTATCATTTTCACACCAGCTTAACTCAGAAATCCACACGGGACAGCTCAGACATGCTGATGTGGCGATCTATAAACATCTAATCCCATCCTCAATTAGTCTCAGCATGCTACCTACTTTATTTATGTATTCAAACAAAATTGTGACCAGAATATGTAGATGTGTGTTAAGAACTAATCCTAAATTTGATGCTATCCAACACACGAGCTGCTGCACGGAATACATTGAAGAGATCGCTTCTGCCTCCTCTGATTAATGTTCAGTTACTCAAATTAAACCACAGTGGCAGCAGAAGACTGTGGGTTGATCTGCTCATTGTGTTTTGCAGGTAAATACATTCAGGTTATATTTAATGAAACACATCGGACTTGTGTTGTGCCCAGCAGCAGTAATGCTTCATTGATTCGTAAAATGCCCTCACAGAGACTACAGAGATAGCAGCAGAGCTTTAAAAGCCAATCGATTGCTTACAGAGAAAATGACCGCCCACAGACCAGCATACTAATAAATATCACACCGCATTCGTGGTTGGTAATACATATACAGTTTACACACGTATAGATTGAAACTTACAGATCATTACCCACAACCACAAGCTTTACTTCTGATCAGTGAGGACAGCAGGCAATGAATAAATGCTGCCTGCAGGTGATCAGCACTTCAGGGTGGTCATTCCATTAATCTTGTAGTGTACATGTAATTTAGTTAAAATATTTGTTGTCGCAACAGTCAAATCAATCACAACTTTTGCAGAATAAGAAAGTAGTTTAGAATGTCTGTGAAGGTGCTCTTGCCTTATGCATTCACTTCAACATAGCAGTATTGTTTGTCACTGGATGCACTGTACACAAAAAGTGTATTTGAGCTGTGGCTGAAGTTAAACACTGTTTTGAATGATTTGATAACAGCAATTTACTTTTGTGGATTCCATCAACTTGACATTACACTTTGTCCCTATAAAATGGTATTCTATTTCCAGTGAAAGTGCAAAATTAGGTTAACTGCTCCTTTAGTATTGATGATGACATGCACGTTTCTTCAATTTTTCTGCTGCAACACAACCGCTGTTTTCCTATGGTAGGATTATATTACTTCTTAATTTCATTTGGCTAAACTTAATACAATTGTATGTGACTATTTTAAGCAATGATTTAAGAATGTCCAACTTTTTTTTTCAGTGTGTAAGTTATAGGTCCTGATTTGATCATAGTTGCTAGTTTTTGAGAAGAAATTTCTTCCAAAGTGACATTTATGTTTCCACTTTTTCCATTCCATGTTAGGAGAGGCAATGCAAGGAGCCATCTGACATTTCTGTCTAGAGATTTTTATGTGTATCAAAGAAACATCAAAAACTTTACATTATTTAACATTAATATTCCTCGAGGGATGCACACCATACATTCTTAACACTCCAAACCTTTGACAGACCATGCCGCACTAAGTATCTCAACATCAAAAGGCCTTTTTATTGGATTTGATTTGATTAATTGTACTGATCCAATGGTTTTTACTCTTTCCCCACCTTCAGGACAAATGCATTTCGCCCTTTAAACATCAAGGCTTGTCTACTTTGTCTTCATTTTATGTATTTCACTGTGTTTATTCCCTGCATATGATGGTTTTATCATTATCCTGTGTTGAATATTGTCCTCTTGCATTATGAGCTGATATTACTGCATCTGTTAAAATGGAAATAGGCATCTCACACTGTGGCTGTGGCTGCTAATCATGTTTTAAGATGTGGGACTTTAAGATGTCACAAAGAATTATGACATACTTTAACTTAATGGATTTTGAAAACATTTAAAAAGTCATACAACAATACTTTTTTTTGTGGTTACAAATAGTTAATTTGCCTGCTCTAATTTGACTACATCACTAAAATTGACTAAATTTATTTTAATAGTTATTTTGATGTATTTTATGTTTTAAGACATTGTTTCTTCCACTTGGAGTTTTCAATATCAAAAACTGAGCTGAAAAAAAAAAAAAAAAAAGAAAGATCTATAATAAAACTTTTATATTTCTGCCTGCTGCCTAAATAGTTAAAGTCAGCAGCTGGATACCTTTGAGTTGACCCAGTTCATATAAATTTTCATAAACATAGAGGTGTCATAAATTTATATAGTCTACCTCAATAAAATATTGTCATTCAGATGAATATTTGATGGCATTGCTATAAAACAAACCTCCATGGTGAATGGTTCAGCTGTAACTTTCTGCAATAAAAACCATAAAAACATGGGCGCTGTCATTTTCCTCACGCAGGGGAAGCAAAATAGAAATGTTACACGGCATAATTAAGTCAGCAGGACTTTGAGCTGTCTCTTGGGAAACACTTCACCCATTAAAAAATAAGCTCTTCATGGAAAAAGATCCATACTTGTTTCCTTTTACCCTCAGGAAATAAGCCTATGGAAATATCAATTAGATTAATTGCAGGGGGCTACCTGTTTCTGCTCGGCTGCTCATTAAACCATCAACAGAAGATCGAACATTAATTAAGAAGCCTTGACGCGTGCTTGTGCCACTGAATCTGGATTCAAGAAAGGTTGTTTTTTCTCCCCCCCTTCTTCTGTGGTTCCATAATATTTGACTGCTTTCACAATAAAGACACATACTATCTCTAGGGGTCTCAGAAATCTGAATGCAAAGCGGAATGATTGTCCCTAGACATCAAAAATGCAGACCGATAAGGGAGGTCAGAGGGAGGAACCACGACTTATTCTAAAACTTTAGCCAGGTGCTCAAAATCTAAATGCAAAGTAAATATTAGTCTTGTAATTAGATGTTTTAACTTGTAAAATGTACGGTTGGGACAGCTAATGGAAATCACTTGTGTGGTACCCAACAAGTCGAGAGCTTTGACAGTAAATTAATACCTTCAATTCTAAGTAATGAATCTTCATACTGACTTTATTTAAGAAAAATCGTACAACTGCATGTAGAAAATATGGTGTTAACAAACCAAAATACACAGAAAAAATGTTTATCATGCAAGATATTTATTGAAGGTAGTGTTGGCTGTTGGTGGGTGCTGGATTATGTTAGTTGATGCTTGACCTCTACAAAGGTACCCAGACAGTGTTTTTAGTAGCTGTGCAGAAATATGTACGGTGTCTGGGTCCAGACATACTCTGTGGATGGATAGCAAAGTATTGTCTTTGTAGACTGAACAATGTTGGAAAACAAGATGTGCCACCCCCCCTAGCAATTTAGGACAAATATCTTTGAGCTTGGCTCTGCTAGGCATTACTTCAGTCTGGGTGTCAGTGTCATCATCACCTTATTACCTGAATGACCCGACCTCTGGACTTGCAGAAAAATGTCAACTAGTCAGGTGCTAGCTGTCGAAGTCGACTATCACAACTTGTCGTCCCAAGCCTGGTAAAGTGACAGCACCAGCTCTTTGGCATTTTCCTGACAAGCAACCTTTGCGAATAATGACTGTTGTCTCTGAGATTCATTGGTAAAATTAGGGTGGTGTTCACCCTCAGGAGAACTGGGTGCCAAAGATTTTGATAGAGGAGATGGTGATTTGTATCCACTCACCGCTGAAAATGCTTTTTTTTTTTTTTTACCAAGTAATAAGATTATTGCTTTACCTTTATGAGAAAGCTTTTGGTGGTTTAAAATGACCAGCTGATCAGCAAATGTCCACAAGAATCATTACAAGTCAGTGCCAGTTTAATTGATACCAGTTATGCAATCTTTGAGAAACAACCACGGAGGGCTGCTAATATGTCTGAACAAAATGCTTTTATGTCTATCTGTCCAGGGCAAAGGAGAGTTCTTCCCTTTTTTTCTACTGTTAAAGGTTTTTTTGCTTGTTTGTTTGTTTTTGCAGGGGACTTTTTCTTTATACAATGTCTAACAAAATGAATAATGTAGAAAATGTGAATCCCCTTGAGACAAATTTATGATTTGTGATACTGAGCTGTGATATTGAGCTGTGACTATGATGGACTTGACTTAGTTTGATAAAACCCAAAAAGTCCTTCAACAACTCTGCTCAACACAACCAGTTCAAGTGTTGCAGCAACAAGGGATAATGATAAGCCATTGTCAAAAATCACCCCTGAAAAACATACCAGTTACACCACAACATTTAAACCACCTGCCTAGTTCCAGTCTCCCTAATATTGTTCTCCTTGTGTTGTCCAAACAGCTCTGACACTTTGAGGCATAGACCTCTGGGGGTGTCCTGTGGTGTTTAGTATTGTGATGTTGGCATTAGATCCTGCAGATCGGAGTTTGGAGGCCAATGGTTGACATCTTGGTCTCTTTGTCATGTTCCTTGAGCTGTTCTTGTGTTTTTTTTTGTGTGTGGCAGGGTGCACTTTCCTGCTAGGGGAAGTATCCCATGAAGTTCTGTTGTACATGTTTATTGAGCAACTAGATTATATTTAGGGAAAGATCAAGATTTGGGGTTGAAATACTTTGTTGAGGAGTTCCTTCATCATGTTTACAGCAATAAACGCAGTTAAAAATGGTCAGTGTTAAAAGAGACAATGTTTAATACGTTTTTTTTAATGGAACAGAAACAGTGATCTACTGTGTTAAAATTTGTGATCCATCCACCGGCCCCAACATCCTCCTCTCTACGCAGATTTTGTAGCTCTAAAACACCTCACATCCTTTATCTGTAAATCTGTCCGGGTTCATCTCTGTCATGCAAGAGGTAGAAAGCTGAATCCCAACCTTGTATGTATCTCTATATGGCAATTTCTCTGGTTAAGCTTAATACAAGGGAGCCCATGAAGGTCTATTGTACTTGTTATTTATCTGTCATTGGCAATATGTTGTCTTGAAAAACAACTGTCCAACAAACAAGGTCAGTTATCCTACAGCATAATATGTCCCCTAAATGAACAACAAGCTGCGTTTTTAACATCAGATGTGGTAACCATTAAAGCTCTTCTGACGTCCTGACTCTTTCATCATCTATTGACACCTAATTTGTAACGGTTCCCAGATTGACGGATTCTCAGGAAAACATGTATAATTGTTTTTTGTTTTTTTTTAATAAATGCTGTCAAAGCATCATGCTGGGTGGATGTGACAGGTGGCGAGTGGTGCCCCACGCACCCCTGCAGGTTTTTCATAACATGTGCCCACAGTCAGATGAAAAAAAAAAAAAAAACCTCTCTGTGCTCAAATGATTTTTGTCCTGACATAGTTTCTAATAAAGGAACAGGAAGGTAGTTACAGAGAATGTGCTGCTAGACTCTGAACTGTGTGGTTTTGATCCCAGAGGTGTAGTTTTATTATACAGAACACGGTCACATCTACAGTATCACACGCTCGGTGACCAAGAGCCAGTGAGCTCGGCCTGCTGGAGGACATTTTTCACAGGCAGCACTTTCAGGTTCACACTGTAGAGCGTGCCATTTCTAAGATGAGCAATGTGGTTTGCGGCGGCGTAACGGCAGTAATGGGGCCCATTTCCCCCACACACTGGAATCACACTGAGGCCCAACAGACGCAGCCTTTAATAAGCGCTTGAGTTTTGTCGGGGTTACCTGGGGTTTGGTGGAGGCCGGAGGCAACGTTGGGGGATGCTCGTTCATCACCGTGGTAACCATGGAGGAGCCGGAGCCAAAGACGCCGATGTTGGGGGAGGGGGGTTCGCTGGGTGGGGTCGCGCTGAGGGAGGGGGAGGTGGCAGAAGAGAAGGAGGAGGAGGAGGGAGGATCCTCAAATAGATCTCTGTCCTTCAACGCAGAGCTCAGCTCAGGCTCTGGAGGAAACCCTGGACAAACAGAAAGAAGAGAAAATATTGTTCCAGAGCTTTCATGAGCACAAAATGTTGTCCAACAACATTGATCCAGTTTGTTCTGAATTAACGTGGAGGTCTGCGAACATGGACTTAAAGTGTCCGCTTACCCAAATTACAATAAAGCAAATGTTCTTTCAGCAGTATGACAACAAGATCCATGAACTGTAGATCAAGTCTGAAGTCACTAAAATGTCTTAAAGATATCTGTGTCTGGAAATTTTGACTCCTTACAAGTAAATGTTATTTAATTTGTGGTGCTCACAGCACTGAATGTAAGAAGTATATCTTTTGTTAGTTGGGTAAACTGACGTAAAATTGATTGTAGTTTATCTCTATTGTCTCACAATAAATCATAATCATGAAAGTGGCAACATTAGCCGGATTTTGATACAGACATTTAGAAAGAAACGCATAAATTAGCAATGTTACATGAACACATTAGGATTAAGCGGTGTATCGCTAATGGATGGATGGACATTAACACATTGAACTTTTCCACTGACAGCGTGGTAGTGAGCCAGCTGGCACAATACGAAACCCTTTAATCTGAAGCAGCTCAAGATCATTTCCCATTAATTTTATACATGGGTTTTCCTACAATAAAAAAAAAACATATTGAAAAGGCCTATAGCGTCTTGGTGTTTGTCCAGTATTTGAAACAATGAAGGATGATTTGTTGGACAGAACATCAATGGTAACTTCACCTTTTCTGTGCCGCCCCTTGTCACGTCGGCTCCCTTGCCTCCTGGGCTCAAAGTGGTGCCCATTCCCGTGTCCATGCCCTCTCCCCTTGCGTGTCCCCATGAGGTGATTCTCCCGAGCCTGGGATGGACTCTTCATGCCCATTCGAACTCTGTCTCTGTCCCTGCCTGGACCCATCTCTAGTCTGACAGGGCTCAGACCCTCCAGGCCTGTTCCATCATCCTCAGGCCTGGCCAATGGGTGCAGGGGCCGGTGGGAGAGCAGCCCGGCTCCACCTTTGGCAGTGCGAGCCCCCTGGCTGCCGTGCCCTCTGCGCTCCCTGCTGTACCCATGGGCCTGCAGGCCCTGCAGAGGGTACTGCAGGGCATTGCTGCCACCTGCTGAGGTCTGTGCTTGCCTCCTCTTGCCATGAGGAGCTCCAGGCTCGGCGCTGTGTGACTGTGCCAGGATGGCAAACAGGAACGCCAGCAGCAGACTCCAGGAGAGTGACATCGTCTGTCAAACACAACGCCACCTGCTGGGAAGAGAAAGTATATCTCAGTACTGCACAGATTCTGCTGTGAAATTAGATTCAAAGAACTGACACAGAAACGTAAAGTAGCTTTTGTCAGCAATGGTGATGAGAGTAAACCAGGATAAAAAGCAGCCCAATCGTATTTCCCCTACTGACCATGAGTCACTTTTCATTTCAGGTGTTGTCTTGGATGATAGTGGCCAGAGTTTTATGGCCTGAGGAAATCAAAAGAAATGTTTTTGAGCTAAGACGATGCAATATTCTGTCAGTACAAAATCAGCCTCTGTGTCGTTTAGAAGAATATACAAATACAAACTTTTCTTTACTGTGAATGTGAGAGTCGTGTGCAGGGTTATCCACAAATTTGAACAAAAAAAGATAAACTTTTTCTGTAATATGTGAAACTGTAATATTAGGACTTTGAGTGAAGTAGCCCCCATTTGACATCAAGATACATTTTCAAAACTCTAGTCTTGTTAACGTTGGATTTCTGCTAAATGATGTCCATCATCATATAAATAACGTAACATAACAGTTAATCAACAGTAAAAGAAAAAAAAAGTATTATGATCTGTGTAAAAGGATAACTAGCTGCCTTTTTGTTAAGCTAATAAATAATGTTGTGCTACATTAGCTTGCTGCACTAGCTAGCTAGCTTAAATTCTTTTCTGCTGTCAGTTATGTATCCCTGTTGTATTATTGTATTATTTTTATATTATGACATTAAGTATCTATAGGGTAAAGTAATGACTTTTGTCCTCATCTCATGATAGAAAACCCAAATAATATCTATGTGATTCATGCTGCAGTTCATGTCAGAGCAACATTCAAAGCTTAAGAATATAGTTAAGCTGACGCATAAGTAACAATTTGTATTGATCAATGTGACTCGTGAGGTTCAATAAGCATCTTTTCAAGGTTTTACATTTAGTTTTGTAATAACAAAGCAGCAATCTAAGAGAATTGACATTGTTTTTCACAGGGGGCATTGCTGCCTGGTTTACCGAGCCACAAAAATCTGTAAGCTTCTTTTTTCTGAACTTATGTATATTTTAAACTAAAATTTGTTCCAGAAAATGGTCCTTTTGAGCATCAATAACTGTCTGCATGTCCTTCAGCACTACCCATAAGTTCTGTTATTATATAACTGCTATGTCTAAACTCTCATAGCTCATCCACAACTAACCCAAACCCCGTCTGTCTGTGTGGGATCATCAATATCCAACAAAAGATATTTAGCAATTTATTGCAAAATGAAGGAATTAGTGTTTTTCAATGTCGCTGACGGTAGGAGTGTGAGCACGCATGTTTGTATTGAGTATAGACAATGGATGGAGGGATGAAGCAACAGTCTTTGGGATCTAATGGACAGCCCAATCAATTATGTAGAAGTAGACTATATTGCAGAAGTGTTGTGAGGAATTGATTTTTTTATTTTCTTTTTGACTTTTGCCTTAATTTATCAGCGCAGTGGAGAGACCTGCAGTAAACGGACATGGTTGGGAGTCAATCCCACGACTGCTGCGTCGGGGGCTATAGCCCCGTTTGTGGGTCGCCATCTTGTCCATTTGAACAACTGGGGCGCCCCTTGCGAGGAGTTTTCATTGATGTTTTGGTAGCCGTGAAACATTTAAATCTATCTTGCTGTTAGCTGCTAATCTATGCAGAAGACACTCCAACCTTTTAGAGATTCGATGCTCAAAAGATATCAGCACTTTCAAAGAGGTATCCCATTAAATGCTCTAAATACATTGGCATTTCAAATATATAAAACATACATCTCATGAAAGCAGTAGGTTGTTGCTTGTTGACTGGACTGCCTTGTATTTTAAGCCATGGCCTGTTTATGGACCCTCTTGACTTCAGATGAAATTTCCCAACAATCACTCGATCGACTGAAATGAAATATACTGACATTCGTGGCCCCTTAGAGAACGAATCCTAATTACTTTGGTGATCCATACACTTTCCCTGTGGCACTAGCAGGAGGTTGACATTTGTGGTTTTGATAGAAATTAATGCTGTGAACTTTGGCATATGTTCCCCTCTGGATACATTTTGTGGTCCTCTTATTTTTCCTCCAGCATTTTTATACTTCAACAAGTAGAATTTTAGAAAATACAAACTTAAAGATGCTGAAACACACACACACATGCACACACACACACATACATGCATACATACAGGACATCTCCCTCTGGTTTAACTGTGACTGTCTGCCTTTTTGTGAGAAGCCATAATCTACCTCCACCTGAGTTCTAAAGCTTTGTGATGTGTCCTCCACTCTTCTGTATTCATCATCATTCCACAAATTTAGACTATGTCGCAGTCAGCCTCCTGAGCGCATCCATTTATCTTGGTAGGTTGGAGGAGGCGATAAAGAGATGGACAGACATTTGTTCTTCTTCTTTAGAAATGATTTTCCAGCCTCCATTCCTGTTCGTTCGTGCCTTACTCAGTATGAGATACGGCACTGCACACATCCTTCATCGCCGCCTATTCAGTGGTCTCGAGAGCCCTCCAACCGTACCTTTCATTACAAAAGTCAACATATCTGTGAGGTGTGACTGCACTGAAATATGAGGTTCTGTATATCTGCATTAAAAAAAAGGCACTTCATCCAAACGTGAATAAAATGGTGTTTAGTCTAAAAGAAAAGCACTCGAGCGGAAACATCTTTCTTTTCATTTCCAGATCCCAAGATACAATACAGACAGGCTCAATTTAAATTGTAATTTAATGTCACTGGAGGTTTCTTTGTGTTCATAATGATATTTACTTGTATATGTACTTTCAGTGATTACAGTGTAAGAAAAGCACAGAAATTTTGCATTTCCTGGCTGACCTGCCTGTAATTTCAAACAGCAGTATATTTAGGGAGTCTTTTTGCAGTGTCACCATGTATGAATACAAGTGATGTTCAAAACCCTCAAATGGATGTTTAATGCAATTGAACTATATGTGTCCGATTCTTTATGTGTACAAGAGACTTGTTTTTTTACTCTGGTTCATTTCACATCATTTGGAATTTGAAGAAACAGAAAAACCTGACAGACTTTTGTACAGCCAATACTAACAGATATCATCATCACTTTTAATTAGCATGTAAATTAATACTTTGTTTTCTGTGATTTCACAAGATATCTGTAATTTAAACAGGGGAAAAACTGTAAAGTACAGATATCTTGTGAAATTATTTACCATTTTAAAATCCTTGATGTTCTTCCTTCTAATAATGGCAAGTATATGCTTTAAAAAAACAACACAAAAACAAAAAAAAAACCAAAACACACACACACACAATTTTGATGAATATTTTTTTTCATTGATTTTATTAGTCATTGTCTGTCATTTGACAAAATCTGTAAAATAACAGTAAATTGTTCTCAAAAATTTACAGTTAAATTAGACTGGTCACTGCTATTTTTTTACAGTGTCACTACCTCCTATCTGTCCACATACAGTTTGTGATTATAGAACCATATATGTTCGATAAAACATTTTTTTTGTTTTTGTTTTTGTTTTTGTTTTTGCATTTTCTTAAAGGACTTTTACAAAATACGTTTTTTAAGTCCAAAGTAAATACTTAAAAATTAATACACTAGAGTGATGTTTTTCAGAATTAATATTATATATTTAGTATTTATGTGTGCCTCCATGATTTTCTCTACATTTCTGTATCTGCTGTGAGCAAATCATTTCTTTGAAGTGTAATAGGCTATATACAAGAAATGCCACTATGATGAAGGTAAGAGACAGATTTAAATGTTTTGTGAGGGGAATAAAATGTGAAGTAAACTTAAATATAAGAATATATATATATATATATATATATATGAACACAAGTCCTTCAGTATAAAAAGTCACGTCATGTAAGATGCCAGGTGATGTTGTCATTTCTAAACATGATGCGGCTCGTTTTGTCCTCTGCTTAAATAGACTGAGACAATCCATCGTCACAGACACACACAACGCCATTGTGGTGCTGTGGCAGGCGACTCCTTTGTGTTAAAAGACAAACAGCGGTGCAGGGCATACAGAAAATCAATAAGGGAGAAGTATTGAGCTGCTGCTGATGGCGGGTGTGTGTCTGCGAGGTGGAGCTGGGGGGTTGATAAGGTCTCTGCTCTTTCATCACACTGACACACAGTAAGTTGAAAAAACACACCCTTGGGTTTTACAGTGGGTTATTTAGGTGTTTCTAAAAACAGGACACAGGCGGCAGGTTAATGTGTGTGTGCGGGACGCAGAGGATGCTGGTGATGTCAGGGGAAATTTGCAGTGCCGGCGCAAGCATCGCACCCCCTGGGGGATTTAAGAGGCGGACTGCGTTGGCCGGCTTCTGGGAGTTCAACCAGCTGTGCAGTTTGCAAACAAGAGTGTGAGGCCAGCTGCTGAGGTGAGACCTTTATCTCCAAACAGGCCTTCAGAGTGTCCAAGAGGAGGGTAATCAGCCGCGTCACACACAGTGTTTCGGCAGGATTACACTATGTCTGCTTGACACATGAGGTGACGCCTGGACCCTGGACGGCCAAAAGGGTCATTTAGAAGAGAAGGCAAACACAACATCCAAACTTAACGTGGGACAGTGCAGGAAAATGCAGTTTACATCTAAAAAGTACTGAGCATGAACGTTTTTTTTTAACAGTTTAAACTGTAAATTTCTGAACAATTTACTGTTATTTTGCAAATTGTCCCTGTTTTGTTAAATTCGAGATATTATCGAGTAAAATCAGAGAAGAAAAAGATCTAAATGTGCATGTTAACCATAAAAGAACAGGCCGAAGCTGTATACAATGTCCACATCAAAAATCAGTATTTATACAAATAGTAATTTGTTTTTTTTTCATGTTTTACCATAGAATGGAACATTTTCTTTACTGTACTTATGTCAGCAAAAAATACAATTTTACAAATATTTAGAGTTGAAAAAAATTAGAAATAAAACCCTAAAACATTTTATCCATTGAAAAAAAAA